CTAGTTATTGCAAATAATGGAAACCATGGGACCTATGTTTCTTTGGACCTGGCTTACTTCACTTAATATAATTTTTCCAAGTCTTTCCATTTCCTAACAAATGAGAAGCCCTAACTTTTATCAGTGGCTATGCTCTCTCTCTCTCTCTCTCTCACTCTTTCTCTCTCTCACACACACACACCGCGCACACATGCATACACGAACGCAAATCAGTGTTTGTGGAAATTATAGATTGGTGGGAAGAAATGACACATTTCCCTCCATACACACCTACACATCAAGTAAGAGTTGATTATGTTCCTGATCTAATTCACCAAGAATAGAAAAATCTTACTAGAACAGAGATGCCTCGCTTCCCTGACCCCAGAGTTCCTATCAGTACTGCCTGGATAAGGAAAGATCTTGCCACAACTGTGAAATCAAATTTTTTGCCTTTTTCTAGTCACATCTTACACGAACAACTTGGGAGGTGCTGTACCAGCAATTTCTGTTTGTGGGCCAGTTGACAAACATCAGACAGTGCTGAGGCTCTGGTCACACTCAGTATCTCCCCATCAGCATTCTCATCCTAGGAGAAACAGCACAGTTATTACTTCTGCTCCAAAATGTCTATTTTCTATCCCTTTACTCTGACTTTGTGTTTTTATCTGGGTGGTTCAAAGACTGAGTTCTGACTGAGGACCAAGCTCACAAATCCACTTCCCCATAAAATTGAATTAAATTAGAAAAAAAAATCAAACTTATTTTTGAAGTTGTTAAACCCTAAGGCAGGTTGGCTTAGAGCAGGCAGATGAAAACCTGTAGTGATTCTGGAGAAACTCTCAGAGATTCCAAGCTTTTGTCCTCAGTTGTAGGGGTGATAGTACTGTTTGTTCTAGTTGATTTCAGGCTCACACCCACCTTGGCAGTGGTAAAACACCACATTGCTCATATAAATAGGGATTCTATTTTTCTCACAAGTTGGAAGAGGTGGGGGAGTGAAATATTTTCCAGGGGACATTGGCAGGAATCAGAAAAAGAAGAAAGTAGGATTGGAATGAAAAGGACAAGAAGGCTGACTCTGAGCTACGAACATCAATGTGATGTTCATGACTCCTTTGAACATTTGTGGTGAAAGTAATATACCTTTCAGTGACTTAATTGACAATTTGGTTAACTACTTCATTTCTTATTTTGTCTTGAATTCAGATAGAAAAAAAGATTTGAATAATGGAGAGGAAGATTGTGTGGCAGATATTTTTTTCCTCACCCTAGTTAGCAAAATTGTCACACAAAAAAAAAACAATATAGGGATAAGCAAGCAGCTCCTTGACCTACAGCACATATGTGATTCAGGAAACCTGTGAGTAGAATATTATAAGAACCTCTGTTTACTTGTTCCTCATCTTTAAAAAGAAAAGAGTGGATGAGATCAGGTATAGGTATCATAGACCTCTTTGCGTCTATGAAGATAACTAGGGGATAATACACAATGCACCAAATAACTAGAGAGAAGTATCAGGTGGGTGGGTCTCATAGGATAGACTGAGTTGTAGAATCTAAGACTGAGTCTTAGAAACCAAGACAACAATGATTTGTTGTTGTTGTCATCCTCCTCCTCCTCCTCCTCCTCCTCCTCCTCCTTCTTCTTCGTCATGGGTCTTGAACTCAGGGCCTGAATGCAGTTCCTGAGCTTCTTTGCTCAAGGCTTGCACTTTAACACTTAAGCGACAGCTTCATTTCTGGTGTTTTGGGTGCTTAATTGGAGATAAGAGTCCCAAGGGCTTTCCTGCCTGGGCTGGCTTCAAATCATGGTCCTCAGCTCTCAGCCTCCTGAATAGCTAGGATTACAAGTGTGAGCCAGCAGCACCCGGCTTGTTCTTGCTTCTGATAGATGTTCATGTTAGGTTTGATGGATCCTGTGTGCCATCAAGTCATCTGTCACTCATTGCTGGTGAGGGGAAAGGCAATATGGCAGATCAAATACTAGCACCAAGGCTTCCAACTGGAAGAGAAACACACAATTTTCACTGATACTTCATGGATAAGCCAGTTACCAATGTGCAATATTTCATGTGCCTTAGAAGGAAACATCAAATTTCACTCGAGAGAGAACAACTACCACACCAGGTCAACAACTCCTGAAGGATGAGATTTCTAAATTCCTCTGTAGTTCAAGGTTGCTAAGAGTCCAGCTTAGCTTAAGATGTACTGAACCAGGAATTCTATCTGTGTAAATAATTGATAGCAATTTCTCTTCACCCAGGTGGTAATCTTTATAACCAGAATAGAAGTGAGCCTTCTCATAGGGCATGAACCAGTGTTTGAGACTATTGCTTCCATTTTTGCTGGGAATCCAAGAACTGAGTCATTATTTTTCCTGGACCACCAGCATCTGCCTACGACAGAAGATTCAGTTTCTTGCTGGCAAAGTTATCTCAGCAGTTTATACATGTATGAGATTAGACCACATAGCTGTGAATATCTTTCCAACCCTGAGATTTTGTCATCTAAACAGGAGTCTAGACCATTGTTTAGGATGGTCAAACTATGTATATTTTAGGTAAAAAAAAAAAAATAGGTCTTGAAAAGGAGCTATGTACAGAAGATTAGTAGACTCTATAGCTTACTAGAACTTTTTTGAGGTTTTTATGCTTTATTGTAGAAATACTGTACAGAGGGGTTACAGTTACATGAGTAAGGTAATGAATACATTTCCTATCGAGCGTTGTTACCTCCTCCTTTGTTTTTCCCCTACCATCCTTTCCCTCCCCACATCCCCAACTCCTCCCTCCCCTGCCTCCAAGTTGTATAGTTCATTTTCAACATAATGTCTTGTATATCTCATTGTTACAATAGGTCAACCTGTATCCTTATTTCAGCATTTTGTTATTTCTCTTCCCCTCCCCAAATTAGAAGTATATACAAGATATAGGGCATCAACATCAAATACAGTGAAAACAGGGATTATACTGTGGGGGAAGAACATACAAAAGAAACAAAAAGAATCACATAGTACATTTTAAATACATTAAAAACAATAGCAAGAAAGAAAAAACCAGTTGTGTCCCTATCTTAAGGTTCATTTCACTTAACATCATCTTATATGGTCATATGTACATAGATTTTGACCTTTTCTGCTTGTCTTAGACTTATACTAGTTATTGCAAATAAGGAAAACCATGAGACATGTTTCTTTGGGCCTGGCTTACTCCATTTAATATAATCTTATGTATCACCAAATATTAATACAGCATTCCAGTTCCCAGTGGATCAGCACGCACGTGTGTGTGTATGTGTGTGTGCATGTGTGTGTGTGTGTGTGTGTGTGTGTGTGTGTGTGTGTACTGAGACAAACTCAGGACCTCAAGCTCTCGGTCAGCTTTTTCCATGAATAGCTGGTGCTTTACCACTTGTGCCATGTCTCCAGTGCTGACAAATTGAAAATAAGAGTTTTGTCTGACTGCCTGGGATAATTTCAAATTTCATTCTCAAATCTTAGCCTCCTGAGTCACCAGTGTCCAGCGCTCTTTTTTCTTAATTATACATATTGGCTATTTTCTCAATCTTATGGGAAGTGCTGGCCAGAAGCAACCTTAAGATTAGTCCTATGGCCTGTCCCTTTCCAGACAGAGGAAGATCCTCTGTGTGGTTCCTTTGAGAGTCTGTGTTACCACTGGCCAACCACCTTCATTTCATACATGAGAAATGGAGGCCAAGAGAGGCTTGATTCACTCAAAAGCCATGTGAAGTTAAGATCAGTCACTATTGCTTTGAGACCAATGAGTCCAATACAATAATCAAATTCCCTCTGACAAGTTTGGGGCCTAATTTGATCCAGAGATCCTCCAAGACATGATATTTCTGAATCATTCGCCTTGAAATACAATCATGTGCTACTAAATGGCAGGAACTTTCTCAGAAATACATTGTTATTTTGTCATTCTGGAAACATCATAGCCTGTACATATTATATAGTCATAGATGACACTGGTTCATCACCCACCATGGCCTCCTGACCAAGGTAAACACAGGCTGCATGAAGCTGCTGCTGGCATACTGTTACACAGAAAAGTTTTTCATGTAAGCAAAAGGATTACACTCTAAAATAACAATTAGATGTACAGTATAGTAAATAACAAAACCCGTAACATGGTCATTCACCATCTTTTTTATTTACAGTTTTTTAAGTTTTCTTGTTAAGATGTTGTACAGAGGGGTTTCCGTTACATGAGGAAGGCAATGAGTACATTACTTGTCGATCATCATTACCCCTTCCCTTCCTTGTTGCTGTCCCACTATCCCATCCCTCCTCCACTTCCCACACTCCTATCCTCCCCTCCCCCCCTCACCACCTGAAGTTGTAAAGTTCATTTCCAATATACGGTCCTGTGGGTATCTTTGTTGCAATGGGTCATCCTGTGTCCTTGTTTCACCACCATTGTTAAGTAGTATGTATTGTATGTAGTTGTCTGTGTAAAACCCATATGACCAGCAGTGCAGCAGGTTTATTTATACTAGGATCACCACGTGGATAATGTGTTATACCAGGCCATAACTATGCTACAATGTCATGAAGGCAATAGGAGTTTTTCAGTTCCTAATATCATGGTCCTACCATGTTGGGATGTGCTATATCTGACATTGACACATGGTTATTTGCATCTAACCGTACTCGACTTCCTCTTTCAATTCTCTTCATTCAGGGATTTGACCTCTGTTATCACAAAAAAAAAAAGAAGACTGTGCTCATGCCTACAGCTTTGCCTGCTTAGGACATTTATGGATTCACTTAGTGATCTTCAGTAATGCTGCTCTATCCTGACCCCTCAACCTGATGATAAAGTTATTGTATGACGTTATTATATTATATTGCATTGTATTATATTGTAGTGTATTTTAGCTAATCACTTCAACACTTTCTAGGTTTGTTTTTCCTTTAGTTGAAGTTATAATAATGACCTATGGCAGACTTTTTAGAGAGAGCCTCCTGGATAGTCATCCTTTGTTTCTTCCTGCAGTTCCCTATCAGCAGAATCCGTACAATCCCCGGGGCAGCTCCAATGTCATCCAGTGCTACCGCTGCGGGGACACCTGCAAAGGGGAAGTAGTCCGAGTCCACAACAACCACTTCCACATCAGATGCTTCACCTGTCAAGGTAGGAGGCTCAACTTCCCAGCTCCCTTCTCAGATTCCTGGCCACGCTACCTACCAGCCCAGGAAAAACAAACTTGCGGGCCCTTGAGACATCTATAAAGGACTGAGGCTTTCTCTACACCTCTTCCTAAGAGAGCTCTCCCTTAGGTAGTGCGGAGTGAAGCAGGAGGTTGGAGTGGGTTGGATGTGAGGGACAATCCTACAAGGCTAACTTGCACACCTGAAAACACTTCTGGCTTGTACCTATAAATAGACTTAAAAGTGAATAATAGTAGAAGTTATCTTGGCTAAAACCCAGCTTGGTTCTGTGATAAGTACCTATTCTGTGACAGTGTGACAATCCCCAAAGTTTATGTCTAACAGGAAGGTTGATCTGGATTTCAGTAAGGGTTGCAAAGCAGACAGTAAAAAATAGATGTTAGTTTACAGCTGACCTGGACTGAGTCAGAGAATCTGAGACTCAATCTAGCAAGGTTTCCTAAAGAAGAAAGAGCAGCTGAAAGAGCCTGGAGAGTTTCTGGCCCTGGAGCCCACCCTTCCTCCCACAAGAGGGACAAATGCGTCTACTGCTACGCTTCCTATTCTCTGCATCCAGTCTTCCCTGCTCACAGAACAAACATCCTGGGCTTGTTTGTGGGGTTACAAAATAGTTGATCTAAAACCTGAATCTTCTACCTGTTGGTCCTAGATTTGTCCTCATAAAGTATGAAACATACTTTATATTTGCTTTTTCCCATGAACTACATTTCAAATACTAGTTGACAGGTCTTCCTGTGTTGAACTATATTACTTGAATTGGGCCTCATCATAAAATCATAAAGTGATTTCAATTTGTGTCATCATCCTGCAGGTTTCTTTCTTGGATTCTTGTTGTCACAAGCATTCTTAAAGCATCAGGCCCAGAACAGATCTCAATTCTTAAGGTCTAGCATATTCAACAAGCACCACATTTCTGTTGATGTGGCCAATTCTAGATTTACTTCCTGAGAAGCCATTTCACATGGTTTATTTATATGAAATGTATTGACAATCAAAACCATCACCTTTTCATATTAATACTGCTTCAGTCTATTGTATCTGAAACGGGCTTTCCCTGCCATGGAGAAAAATCCTCATCTTCTTTCTTCATAATCGAACTGATCTTTGCCCAAAACATATACATATTCCTATTTCCCATTTTGTTTATAGAAACATGGATGACATATATTTTAATTGGTAGGATTTGTATTTCATACCGAGAATTGGCAAACACATTAGACAAGTTCGAACTTCAAGAGCATCTTGGCAAATGATATGTTTTACATCCTCACATATTGAGACAGCACAAAGGATAAAGACATAAAAGAAATTGTTGCATGGATGATATGTGGCTCAGTAGTAGTCTTAAGAAAGTGTTATCCATTACCTTTTGCTTACATCAATATGTAATGGTTGCCAGGTACCCATGGGTCACACCTGGAATCCAAGCTACTCAGGATGCTGAGATCTGAGGATCAGGGGCAGAAAAATCTATGAGACTCTTTTATTTTATTATTTTTCAATATATATTTATTGTAAAGATACTGTATGGTTACAGTTACATGAGAAAGGTAATGAGTCCATTTCCTATCCAGCATTGTTACTCCCTCCTTTGTTTTCCCCTACCATCCCTTTCCTTCCCCACCTCCCCAGTCTACAAGACTCTTATCTCCAATTCACTACCAGAAATCTAGAAGTGGAACTGTGATTAAGCTGATAGAGTAACAACCCTGACCATTAAGGACAGTGCCCAGGCCCTGAATTCAAGCCCCAGGACTTACACACACACACACACACACACACACACACACACACACACACACACAGAGCAGCGTAATGGTTGACCTGTGCCTCCATGTGGTTCTCATCCTCCTCCATGCTGGCTTGGGCTCATTCATAAGGTAGTCTCAGAGCTCCAAGTGCAATGAGAAAGCAACCTTCAATAAGGAAGACCTCCAGCCTCACTTCTGCTGTAATCAGCACATGTCAAATAGCCAACCCAGACTCAAAGTCATAAGATACAGACTTTGCCTTTTGTGAAAGGACCTTCACATCAGAATCCAAGAATGTGAATGCAAGAAGGGATTAATTTGGCAATTTTGATAATCTACTACAAGTGCCTGGAATAACTCTTTCAATGGGGACTTGAAGGGGGAAATGGGCTACTGCTTTTCTAAATACTTTCTATGTTAACTTGCTTAGAGGCAACAACAGATAACAAGATGTTGGTTCCCAGCAGTAACCTGTGAGAAAAACAGTTGCCCTAATTACACCTCTCATTTGAAAATACTAAAATTTCTATGCATTTCTTGTTAAAACTCTTTAACATGCACTACCATGCTCATATGAAAAGAAAGGATCTTCAGAGGTCAAAAGCAGAATGAGGTGTGGCTTCCAGTGTGATTACCAATGCCAGATTTCATCCTCATAGTTAAACCTTTGAGGTATTGAGATTTTTTTTTCTTCATGTGCAAGTGTATCCTAGAGAATGCAGACAATTCTAGAGCCTGGCCAAAGTGGGAATCTAATAAGGAGATCTGTGTGTACCTCTGAGATGTCCCTCTGCAGAAATCTTACTCTCAGTGTATGACAGGTGAAAACAAACTAGTTCCTGAAAAAGTTTCATCAAGAAAGCTTGCTTGGTGGCTTCATACCTTGCAAGATTCATGCATGATATCTATGCTGTGTATTTCACGTAAAGTTTACAAATCAGTCCAACAGTATCTGAAAGGAAGTCCCAACTTGGAAAACATCAGTCCTCTTTTGAGGATCTTGACTTCACTCTACACCGTAAAGAACTCCCACAGATTATGTTATTAGGAAAACAAGTAACTCAGTGCCTGTAATCCTAGGTACTCATGAGGCTGAGATCTGCCAGCCCATGCAGGAAAGTCTGTCTGACTCTTATCTCCAATTAACCAGCAAAATGCCCAAGTGGAGATAATGGCTCAAATGGTAAAACATTAGCCATGAGTGACAAGGCTAAGGGACATGGCTCAGGCCCTGAGTTCAAGCCCCAGGACCAGTATAAAAAATATAGATAAAAATTAAAATAAGTAAATTCTAAAAGAGAGAGCCAACAGAAACAATCAAGGGCAAAATCAGAACATCAAAGAGTGTATACTGAGTGTATACAGTCATTGAAAATAACTACATAATTAACTCTCCTGGAAAATATAAAAGAAACACACCAAGCACATCAGAATGAAAATTCAAATCATCAAAGACAAAGAGATCATCTTTAAAGTAGCCAGATCACCTGTCTCTGTGTGGTAAATAGGCTGACAGCTGAGTTTTTAATAGCAAGAAACAAACTAGAAAACAGTAGAATAATATCTTTCATGTACTGAAATAAATAACTGTCAAGATAGGACTATGTATTCAGCCAAACTCTCTACCTACAACAAAAACCAATCCACAGATAACATTATGCTTACTGATGAAAGACTGAATGTTTCCCTGTGAGATCAAGTACAAGACAAGGGTGTCTGCTGTCATCACTTCTATTCAACCTTTCACTGCAGGTTCATGCCAGGTTAATTAGGCAAGAAAATGAAACAAAACATATCCAGACTGAGAAAGAAACGCTCTCAGTTTGCACACAAGGTGATCTTATATGCAGTAGATCCTAAGGAATGTATTTTAAAAATCTCTAAGAACTAGTCAGTTCATTGAAGTTCTAGAATACAAGATCAATCCACCAAAATGGATTGTATTTTTTATATTCAATCTGATTTTATGTACAATCTGAAAACAATTCTGCTTTCCATGGCATCAAAAATAAAACGTATACAAATAAACTTAACAAAATAAATGCAAACTTATATTACAATAACTATAAAGCATTAAACAAGTGGGTAATCACCCCCCATGTTAATGCCATTAAGATAGCTACACTCTTCAAATGAAATCTAACCAACTGAACGCTTAGCTCAAGAAGCCATAGCAATGCTGTAGACTGGTGGTTTAATCAATAGAAATTCATCTTCTCACATTTCTGAAAACTGGAAGCCCCAGATCAATGTGTCAATGAGGTTGGGCTCTGCTGAGGATCCTTTCCCTGACTTGTGGCTGGCCACCATCCTTCTGTCTTTATATGGCAGATAGGCAGACAGACATCTCTCTAATTTTTCTTTCCATAAGACTTCTAATCCCATCTCTCATGGGGTTCTGCCCTCAGGACCTCATCTACACTCAATTATCTCCCAATGTCATCACATTGGTAGCTGAGGCTTCAACAAGTGAATGTGACAGCATCACAATTCAGCCCTTAGCAAATGTGACCTCTATCAAAATCCCAGCTGGCTTCAAGGCAGCAAGTGCCAGGTTAATATGGAACTGCAAGGCATGTAGAAAGCCCCAGCAATCCTGAAAACGAAATGTTGTAAGACTCATACTTCTCACCTTCAAAACTTACTACAAGGCTACAGATGCTAACACAGAGGTAGACATATAGACCCATAGGACACAATCAAGAATCCAGAAATAAACCCTTCCACTTATGACCAATATCCGTGCCAATATTTCCAATCTCAGTGCCAAGATAATTCAAGAGAGAAAGAATCATCTTTTCAACAAATGGTGTTGGAAAAACTGAATATCCATAGACTAAAAATAAAAAATATAAAAGACTGTTTCTTTGCACACAAATAGAACGCAACTCAAATTGAATCAAAGGCTTAAATATAGGAGCTAAAACTATAAAATTCTTAGGGAAAAATATAAGAATAACTCTTTGTGACCCTGAATTGGGCAAAACCTTACATATGTCTTGAGAAGCACAAGCAGCTAAAGAAAAATAAATGTTTAAACATCAGCAAAATTTCATAACTTATGCTTCAAAATGCATAATCAAAAATTTAAAAATAAGCCAGGCACTGGTAGCTCACGCCTGTAATCCTAGCTACTCAGAAAGCTGGCCTTTCAAAGCCAGCCCAGGAAGGAAAGTCCATGAGACTCCTATCTCCAATTAACCACCAGAAA